TGATGATGTGTCCAAAGTAAGTGAGCTGAAGTCTCGCCATCTTCTCTTCTAAGGAGCATTCTGGTTGTATTTCTTCTAAGATTGATTTATTCATTCTCTGGCAGTCCATGGTATATTCAGTATTCTTCACCAGCACCGCAATTTGAATGAATCAATTCTTCTTCTGTCTTCCGTTTTCATTGTCCAGCTTTCCCATGCATATGAGGTGATTGAAAAAACCGTGGCTTGGGTCAGATGCACCTTTGTCCTCAAAGTGACATGTTTGCTTTGGGAGGTAATTTTATCCCTGCTCCAGTCACTTTCTCAGATATGTATTTCTGACCACGAAATGGCTTTCCCACCCTGTTGTCAGAGAAACTAACAACTTCTAGATGCTGTGCTCTGTGCATTGCTTTAGAAGTTTTGTTTTTCTGTCTGAGTCGTTTCCTGGTAGGTTTCCCATTGGGGCCAGTTAGCCCAGCTGGTGGGACAGGGTCCCAAGGACATGGGTTCAATACTGGGTCTGGACCAGTGATCTTTACTGTATCCCATGGTCACGTCCTACAGCCACAGACCAAGAAGGCCATTTGCACAGGTGAGCTCTTGGTGGTGGGGCATCCAGACAAGGAGATGTGTGTGGACCACTGCAGATCTATTGCCACTGCTGGAAAAGCATCTCCCATGGTGTGGTTGGAAGCACTGCATGTTCTACTTAATCTTGTGATAAGCAATGATTGAACCTCCACTGTGGGGAAGCACAGGAGCTTGGGGATAACTGTGTCATTGTGATATTTTTGGAATAGTCTTTAATTTATAATGACTTTTCTGATTGACTTATACCAAGTCTGTCAGATATTGAAATGATTTAGGTGTGAAGCCACAATGTGGCCAGATAAACACAAACTTATTTATACTGATTTCCTTTGCATTTTTGTACATCTAAGTATGCACCAAGGGTTGGCTATTTATTATTTGTAAAGAATAAGTTTCTTTATTAAATGAGCTGGTATATTTTTGCTGTTATTGTTAGTTGCCTTTGTGTTGATTCCAACTCATGGCGACCCCATGTGTGTCAGAGTAGAAATACATTCCATGGGGTTTTCAAGGCTGTGACCTTTTGGAAGCAGATTGCCAGGCTTGTCTTTCAAGGTGCCTCTGGGTGGGTTCAAACTGCCATCCTTCCTGGTAGTAGTTTAACGCTTAACCATTTGCACCATCCAGGGACTCCCGAGTTTGTATATTAAATAAGCTTATTTCTTTACCATTGTTTAAGTCCCTTGATTTTCTAGGCTTAAGTTTGACTTCATCAATGCATAGAATAAGCATTTACGGAGTGCCTGCTGTATGCCAGGCAGTGTGTTGGGTACTGGAGAAATAGCAATGGATAAGGTGGTGTCCTTGCCTTAAGATGCATTTAAAGAAGCAGCTCCCAGTGCTCATTACAGTTTATAAAGTTCTGTACACGGTTCTTGGTCTGAGCACTGGGAGGCCCGGCAGGAAGAGAGAAGCGTGTGCAGTGGATGGCCTGAGGCAGTAAGAGAGGTGGTGTCATTAGTATGTCAGGGTGACTTTATGTCTGATGTCCTGAAGCTCACAGTCTAGTAGGGAAGATGCTGGAACTGAAGGTTTTATTACTCACTAGCTGAGCGACCTCGGCAGTGTCACCTCTCTGGGTCTTGCTTTGTCAGCTGTGAGGTCCAGGGCCTTGGAACACTGGGTGCTCCCCAGGCACCTTCAACTCTACACTCCTTTGATATAGTGATTTCCCCCCATCTTAGTTATCTAGTGCTGCTGTAACAGAAGTACCACAAGTGGGTGGCTTTAACAAACAGAAACTTACTCTCTTACAGTTTGGTAGGTTAGAAGTCCGAATTCAGGTGCCAGCTCTAGGGGAAGGCTTTCTCTGTCTGTCGGCTCTGGAGGAAGGTCCTTGTGTCTTCTAGCTTCTGTTCCTGGATGATCTTCATGTGGCTTGTCATCTCTCTTCCCTATCTTTGCTTGCTCCTTTGTTTATTTAATCTTTTTTATATCTCAAAAGAGATTGACTTAAAACACACCCTACCCTAATACTGCCGCATTAACATAACAAAGACAATGCATTCCCAAATGGGATTATAACCATAGGTATGCCAAAAACCAAACCCATTGCCCTCAAGTCAGTTCCAACTCATAGAGACCCCATAGCGTTTCTAAGGCTGTAAGTCTCTGCAGAAGCAGATTGCTACATCTTTCTCCTGCAGAGCCGCTGGTGGTTTCAAATGGCCGACCTTTCTCAGTTAGCAGTCGATCGCTTTAACCGCTGCGCCATCAGGGCTCCTTAACCACAGGTGTAGGGGTTAGCATTTACAACACATGTTTTGGGGTGACACAATTCAATCCATAACATCCCCCAAGTCAGAGTCTCACACCCAGCCAGGCTTTCTGCTGA